AAGCAGGTATGACTGAGGTAGAGATACTATTTAAAGTGCTCTTTTGTAGCCTGTCTAACTATAATTAAATTTAGTGGGATATGAACGGAACACAAGGAACTGAAAAGCACATGGATTCAAGGATGGGGTTAGCTGTTTCCAACATCAAAGAAATAAGCAATACGCGACGAAATTTGGTACATAATATCATGTTGAACTTCTCTTTAACAGAGGGCATTGAGTTCAGAACAAACTCCACCAAATTCAAAGGGACAATAATCTAAGCAACATGGTTTTGCATATAATTTACAAGATGATCGTATGGAACAAATCGGGAGCACGTCTATGTATTAACGACAGGTCAGCCATATACACATAATTAGATTTAGAAAAATGGGATACAACAGGCCATTTTCACTTTTGCAGTGAGGAAGCCTATGGAACAAGCCTCAAATTAAAATCAAAGGGCTTTGTTATGTTTCAGTACACTGTAATCTTCTAAATATCGGTACAACGTAAATACATCAGGAATAATTAGATTGCTCTGATTAACATTAGCTGGATTTTGATGAAATAATCGGTTTGAATGACCGGATTGTTAAGCACCTGCCCTTTCTCTTGGCCATTAATTATGCTAATACACATTCCATGTAACGGAACTAAATGTATCCGGTCCCACCGGACCACATTTTCTTTAAACGCTTCATCTAACCCCATCTGAAGAATTGGACTTTTTAAATGTGTTTTGTCGAGAACTGATGATGAAAATAAGTGACAGAAGTGAAATAGATTGTATTGATCTGTGATTTAGACGTCAATTTGGACAATTTGGCATGCCTTTTCAGGTATTTCTTCATGATTCAGATCCTTCAAAATAATTTTTTAATAATTGTTCGCCTTCATCCACCGATCTAAATTCTCACTTTCTTGAACGTTTACTTGTTTATTTTAGTCAGAAATTATTCTCCAATTCCGTAGGCTTAAGTTACGAAAACAAGCGCTCGACCGTTGATTGACTCTAAGTTTGCCCGTTTCGGTTACACATCATGCTTCAACGTGATCACTTGAAAACAGAAGCACTATACCTGACGAGTACTATTGGGTATTATACACTATTTACGATCCGTTAACGACACGACCAATTGCAGACGATATGCTTACAGACCGTCGTGTCAAGACTTCACCGGATGTGACCTAATGGCGGAAGAAAACAATGAAATGAATGAGTGTCATTAATGCTCCGTTAAATTAATTAACTGGGAATGAACTCACTAACTGTTGAGAGGGAAAAGTACTGCCTCACTTGAGGGCGGAATAAACATCTTTGAATATCTATTGTCTTTCACAAAGATTATTTGGGGGGTTATGGCAGACAAAAAACAAGAAGAAAAAAACTTGTCTTATTTTTGGTTCTCGTAGGTGGGTGATTTGAGTGGACTTGTATGATCAACAAATAAGCTGCCAAAAAAACACAGCGAAAAGGTTCATTCCCTACTGTGGAAACAGTGGGAAAGTAGGTCTTTGTTAAATCAAATTTGTCGTCAAATTATTGTGCAAAATTTAAGCACAACATTCCACCTATAATCACACAAACTGTGTAATTATATAACCTGATGTTGAATCAGTTACCAACATAAATTATCAAAGTTGAAAATTTGTTTCCGGAATCTCCTCATTAAGCTTTCCGCTGCACTAAAGTTTGTGGGTTTTTATTTAATTACTTTCACTCGATAGTATGCAATTCATAGTTTAAAAAGGAAAAGATTTTGTCCAGACATCCTAATGGATGTTAGATAAAAGGAACTTCTGATACAATGCATCATATAGTTTATAATTTTCTAAACTTTATTAAATTTACTCTGAAAAATAAATTGCGAAGGCTATATCAAGGTCAAATTCAGACGGATGATATACGCAAAATAAATACCCTGAAAGACTACGAAAATTTGTCGTAGAAACTCAGATAAATCAAACTTTGACGAAAACACAACAACAATGTTCTATACAGAATTATCACTCGATAGCCGTATCGATGGATTACGAAAATGCAGTTGTGATATGAGCAGTACTTGTACATCACTAGTTTTGCTCAATGCAATATTGGTATCACGTTCACAATATTACNAATATTACAAACAATAAACAGAATAAATACAGATTCCTTCAATAGTGGAAGCGATTTCTTTAGTTGGGCATCACAAACTAGTAAATATCCCTTCATTTTTGTTGTCAAAGTTATTTTGAAAACTGAACAGCTAAAAATTGCCATAACCAAGGCAAAGATACCTGCTGGTTACTGAACCAGTGTTCAAGGTATGTCTGGGTGCATGGCGGAAAAGCAGTTGTCTTCCAATTGTGGATAAGGATTTGCATGGACTCAGGTATTTTATATTACGCATAAGCGATACGGAAAAGCTCTATAGCTTCTGTCTCATTATTTCATGTTGCGGAGCGCGGGAGAGATGTCATTTGACTCATAAATGCATAGTCTTAATACTATAACAATCTTAAAGCTTGTTGTATACACACCAGGTAATTTTCATCTCAATCCTACTTTGGTGACCGAACACCAATCCGGTCTCTCTTGTTCTTTTCTCTTTCCGTCTTTTATTCAGTAAAGAAACTAGTATTACTGCAATATGCACGCGTTCACATGCGGCAATCTCATTCTTACTACACTTAGCAGGCTGATTTTTGGGGTTTTACTAGTCAGATATCACTTCTGGTGCTTTCATTATATGTGGTTCCTTTGATTGATGAACACACGAGATCCATGTTAGTACACTTTCTAAAAAGATCACACATTACAATTATTGCGGTTACTAGACTCTATCCGTTTACATTTAGAAAACAAATTGTCGTCTGTAATTCTTGAGTTAATTCGTGGTAACATTTTGAGAAGAGATGGAATATACCAGTTTAGGCCTAGGTATCCTCGGATTTTGTAGTAGTATGAACAACAACACTCAGTTTCTGTGAATCGAATTCGTGTTGAACACGGAAACGCGAGTTGTGCTGATAGATAGACATGACCACAGTCAACATTGCTGATTCACATACCGAAAACCCATTTAACTCGTCAAACTCCTAAAACAGGGAAGAGGAGAGAAAAAATGTTGAATATTGCAACAAATCAATCATCCGTCTAACGTTGGTTTACACACACACTAACACTAACACAAGAGCTCCCGGAAAACACTAGTTGAATGAAATGAATAGGGTTAGTGAGCATTTGTTACTAAGAGCACTGGTTAGACAAGCGGAACGCAAGCGCATCAGTTCTGTTTGCTTTCTGACTATAGATCCTAATATCCCATCACTAAAATGAACAGAGGGTTCATCTAGACAAAACAGTCTGATACCTTCGGTGTTACCACTTGAATACACAAATGATTTGCAAATTAGCTCACGAGGTTGACGGCCCAAGGTTAGTTTAATCAGTCCACGGTAAGCACGTGTATGCAAATATACCCTCATAGCTTATAAATTATGTTTAGATCATCTGCATCCAGGAGAAAACATTAGTAAAAGCTTTTGCTCCAGTTGGTGTTATTCATATCAGTTGCTTTCAGCAAATGAGTAATTTCATTTTATCTGTAAAAAAATAAAATTATGCGCTTCTGTCCACAGAGTATTTTTTTATTCTCACATGCATCTCCATAGTAGTAGTAGTAGTGTTATTATTCCAAAAGGCGGTGCTCGGTCGAGGATAGTTCGTTGTCAATAGCGGTCAGGATATGATTAAATTGTCATTCATATACCAAAATATCTCATTTGAAACAAGTTTGCAGAATTCCTGCAAACACAAAGGATACGTAATGGAATGGTCCGCTGTCAGATGCGCATGTTTGTATTCACTGTACCTAACAGCAACAGTTTGTTCCAGCAGGTCTTGTTCATTATTGGTCCTTGAAAGAAACCGCTGATCGCATCTTTTTGCGTAACACTCACAAGTGAGTAGTATCTCACAACATAAGGTCTGACATATTCCGGGACTTTAGAGCGACTACTTTGTAAAATATACTGCACGCTATTGAAACAAACTCATATGCGAACCGGGTTTATTCAAACTCTGATCCGGAAACGGAAATGCCTTCATCTGTTTACCAGACTACAATATCCTGCAGACTGAAACACGTCTGACACAATCGTGTGTTAATATACATACTCGACTCAAGCCTGCGTGTTGTCTGGTTTATTGATTCGTAACAGACAGCTGGGTTTTCATTGATTGATCGAAGAATACGGCTACCTTTGCCAAGATTATAATTACTGTAGAAGTTCACAATACACGACCAGGAGCGTTCTATGTTTGTGCCACAAACAGAATAGCACTTTCTCCCCGAGAGCAGAGAGTTCGTCCAATAAAATCAAAGTACCGATTTGGACCATCAACAAGCTCGATGAGCATTGTTTTTGAGCACCTTGATTTTTCGTTTGCCTCACTGTGGGTAGTAGGAGGTTTGTACAGCAACAGTATTTGTCATTTTCATATCGTGATGTTGCCTACGGTATCCTGAGAAGATCACCAACACTTAATGAACGACCCGGATTGATGTTTACACCATACACAAACTGTTGATCCGGCATTCCACAGCTGATAGTCTGATTAGTTCTAATTAGAGTTATTCAATCACGTCTGATTATACTCATGGATTCTCCTAATAAATTATCTATCCATATGATCAACACAGACAAATCCTTTAAAAACGACGTTATAGACGTAAACTGAACTGCTACACAGCAATATTTCAGTCTTAAGCTTCTGTGCACAAATCGGATAACATAAACAAACTCGTTCAGTTTGACATTACACAATATGTTGCTTGTGACTGCCAAATGCTCAGTTTAGATCATCGATGGACCCCCACTTAAAGTGTTTATAAAAGCTATATCGTAATCACGGAGGTACGATAATCTGACTCTTTTAATGAAACCTGTGAAAACATGAATTTCTCCAGAAGTTAAAGCCACTTAAAGGTTTCCGTGGAAGAAACCAACTGCAGTTCATATCGAGAAAAATGCGATATTTTAGATTTAAACGCACATCAGTGTTCCAAAAACGCAGACAAATCCGTAGCGCTTTGCTTAACAACGAACAATCAAACTCGTTGGATTTGAAACACGAAATTGAATTCCCTTTGAGTAACCCAAGCAACTTGACTATTTCTGCCGCACGAGAAGTATTCGTGTTTGACAAACTACTGTCACGCCAAAATTATATCTATACTCCGGAATCGTATGTTCTCGGAAACCTTATTTTCATTTCCGAGGAGCTGACCTGGAACGAGCTCAAACTGTTTGATAAAATTTGTTTGAAACGTAACCACGGTAATGCACCTTAGAAGTTAATGAGAAAAGAATCGTTAGCTATTCTATAGATAGATTGATAGATAGATAGATAAACAGAAAGATATATAGATAGATAGATAGATAGATAGATAGATAGAACCAACTTACACTTTAATGATATATATAAACGGGATAGCTATTTTTTAACATCATTTGTATACTAAAAACAAAAAAAGCTACGATGTACTAGCTATTCATTGTGATCCGTTATATATTCATTCAACCTAATAAAGCAATTTGGTTTTTTTTGGGATATCTGAGCGTATACTTCCGTTTTCTGCACGTTCTATACCCGACTTTCAAGTAAAGGAAACCACGGTCACTCTTATTTCAATTCATCCATCCCCAACGTGTCCATTGGTGTTCATAAAAGTTCTTGTTTTTACATTGAGATTACATTATAGATGAATAAAGTTAAAAAAATTGTAGTTACTACTACTGTTACTACTAAGACATTTCTCCCAATTCCTGCTCTCATCCGATAAGAATATGAAAGTCACGTTAGTTAATAGATATTAAATAATTTTGATCCGAGTTAACAATTCAAATTGTTTTCATTGGAAGATTTTAAATGTTTCCACAAAACTCTTTCTGATTCGAAACGCTCTGAGCTCAATTTAATACAGATGTGTAAGCGTGTAAGTGTTACTGAGTGGTATTCAACGCATGACCTATCCGATTACTTCACGAGTTCCCTCGGATGCAAGTGAGCACGTCTGATTTTCAATGACAAGTTTTCCTTTTTCATGTAAAGTTTGAAACACTGAAATATAATTTTGATTTGTCAGACCAGATTTATTTTCTTCCGGTGATTTAACCAAACCTTATTCGTTTTATATCACCATTAAATTGTAGCAATGATCAATTCCGAAATGTGGTACCGATACTGTATTTCATTATTTCTCTACTGTAAAAATGTTTGTTTGCCGTTTCCAAGGTCAGCCTTGAGTACGCATTACCCACTGGTAAACACTTGATGGATCCCTTTAATCAATGCGGTATATGTAGATTTAGCCACCGGTGTGATCGATGAATGTATGTTTTATTTCTTCACCCGGAACCTAATATTATTTATCACTTGAGTAAAAATAGCACAGTATTTTGATGCCCAAGCAACAGTTTTGTTAGAAAACTTTCGTTTGAACACACTGTCTCATATTCTTTTACCACTTCAGATCCCGCGGTTAACGGGGTTTGTTCACGGGAAGATACTACTCTCAACGCCTACGAGCAAATTAGTCATTCGCTCGAATAAGTGGTAAAGGAAAAGGAAATCACTTGAGAGCTTCCACGTGTTCAACTGATATTGCGTCTAAAGTTGCTTTCCGGCAGAAATGCACATTGAATAAAAAATGTTTTCCTTATCACACTCACAGCATTCAAATAGTTTTCACGTAGAAGGCAAAGAAAACAATATCACTTCGTTCAGGCAGCCATAAGCTAAGACGAAGATCATATATCCAGGTCAGAGCAAACCTCGTAAACAAGAAATTGAAACGTATCATCAGATCCGCACCGTATTTCCGCATCCTTACACACCTTGACAAATCCACCGTAGTATCGTTCATCTTTCACCGCAGAATACATCCTTTGATAAGTGATCAGTTTGTGAGAACTGGGGCTGAGCTTACTCCAGGATAGTTCTCGCTGACAGCTTCGTTCTCAGATTGTGTATTGATGTTTCACATGACTTAGTTCTATTCAAGTTGATCATTACATTATCGAATTGATAAATCAAAAACCAGAATCACAAAAGATGTGATCGAGAAAATCAATATTATAAGTAGTTCTGGTAGTGAGTTACTTGAATAAAGAACCATTATGGATATCACACTCCTGGCAAACAATCTTCATTGTTGACAACAGCTTTTTTAAGGATGGAAGTTGAATAGTTATATATAAAGTAAAGAAATGATATTCATAGCTCTAATCATTTCAAGAAAACGATCCCACTTGGATCCTGCGTTACAGCCGACGACGAAACCGTCGACCAGAAGTGATTAGAAATACAAGTCTCTTTTCGTTTCCCTTCTAAAAGTGAAACTATTTAGGATCTCAGTATTATGTAAATCAGTTAGATTGATATCATGTTTCTGAACAGTGAATCTCAAATGCAACAAGGGCTTAGAAACGCGCCTCGTAAATAATTGTCTCCTTATTAATTTCCTTTATAAATTATCGATTACCAGAGGAGCTTTCTTAGTACCAGATCAATACTGCATCCTTATGAAAAGAGAAGTAGTAAATGAAGTGAAAATTACCATGTGAGTCAGTGTGCGTGGATAAATAAAACCAAAAAGACGAAACTTCTTGGACAGTAATTTTTCTAGTACTGTCTTTAGTTGCTGAAAGCTCCAATAACAAGTATAATAAAAGATTCAGTTTTCAGTGTTAATGTGGGGTTGCATAAATTTCTACACAATAACATGTTTATTGATTGACGAATAAGCAAACCAAAACAGAGAGACAAACTTGACAGACGCGAGTGCGCACCTTCATTTTTGTAGCCCACATAACAAATCAAGTTTGCTGTTGCCCTGTGATGAACAAAGCAATTTATATTGAGACCTATTTAGCTATGACAACATGTACTTTAGAGAGCTTTAAATAGTTCAGTACTTTAAGTCCCATGGCTTGATTCGATATTTTCCTTAACTTAGATGTAGGTCTTCTTAACCGATTTATTGTTTGTCCTACCGAGATGTGCAATAAAAAAACCTTGCAATTGAAAACCATATACAGCATTACAAAAGTCAGCGAAATACAGTGTATCTTGGCAACCAAGAAGCTGTTTTCCATCGAAGTGAAATGGCGGTGACTGGGCTCAAATATTGACTCCAGAAGACTGACACAAGCCAGAGATAGAAGCTGACTGGTCAATCAGTACAGCAGGAATAAAGTATATCAACAACCTTTTTATTCATTTTCCCCATTCTTCAACAATTTGCGCAGGTTTATTGGGACCGAAGTCAGATGACTTCAGCAGACAACCAGAGAATCACGTAACTTTCAATTGCACCAATAAAACATACAGTACCACTTGTTTTGAGCTGCTTAGCTCCGAGGTTACCCTAATCACATTGCCCAAACCAAATGTGGTCGGTTCAGATTGCGTGCAGTAACTCTCCTCAAGCTTGACAAGACAGACGGTTTCGCTTAGTGTTGATCATGGTAGAAGCATTCACGTGAGCACTGGAATTCACGGGTTGGACGCAAAAAACCGAATAACAGCAATTAATTATTATTTAGGCTAGTGGGGGAGGCGGGCATGTACGGCAGTATGCCAATTCTCTTGGTGCTAAAGCAAAGAAATGCAGCATGACCTAAGAAGGCGGAGATTGTTTTATTGGCTGTCTGATTTTGATTAGGCCTCTTGAAATCAACACGATCGTATATCATTCCGATAAGTGCTGTTTACTTGACAAGGCCCAATAACAACGACGACGACTACCACAAATGGTTCCTGTGAATCCAGGTGCATACAGTGCGTAGAATTCAATACGTTGTAAAGGGTTGACACAGATGATAATCTTGATTTGAGAAAAACGCTTGTAGTTATTTTTACAAATATCATTGAAAAGAATCAAATTAAATTCGCTAATTTAGGTTACTTAGATGAAGAACATGTATCTCATTTTAGTAAAAAGGTTTGATGATGTATTGACAGATTTTCATTGAAATCTTTTTCAGTGCTTTACTTTTCAGACAAGCCTCATTGACCAATGGTGGATTGTCACTTATTCATTGCGGAGTAGAATGTTATTTTGTTTCGTAGTTTTTAACTGGTATGTTTTCTCAGAAATTCTATTGAATTTTAATTAACTTCCATCGATAAAAGAATGAACAGGAGAAGGTTTGATTTTCTTTGAGAACGGCAATAGTGAATGACCAAGATATATGCTCCTAAGCTTCAGCATGCCTGAAGGCGATTTGGTCTGAGGAAACTCTGAAGTTGATCATTTGAACTTGTTAGCTCGGGCAGAGATCATGATCACTTACCTGAATCACCGACCATGAGATGTCACTGTGCCAGGAAAATGTATAAAAGTTCCGTCAGTTACTGTTTAATGGCTTGCGTCTCACTTAAATGAAGAATCCGAAGAACCTAGACAGAAAGCACCAGGCTGACCCAATTTGAATGAATTTAAATAAATCATTTTCGTTCAAAATGCAAGACAAATTTATCTCACTGGAACAAATGTGTGTACTCGTCTTGTACCAATAGTTCCCTCAAGTTCACGCGATGGATGAAACATACCCGGAAACTGAAAGCGTGCAATAGTGTGTGGAGTGAATGAACTATCGACTTTCAGACAATAGCATCTCGCAAGATACAAAATCACAAATCTTTGTTCGAAATTTTTTTCTCCAGAAAGTCTACACTTTTCGCGTCTATGCACAAATTGTTTTGTTAACTTTATTCTGTTCTCGTTTCACCCCCTACCCCTATGCACCCCTACCCGACCCTTCATGTTGACCGAATCAACCATGCGGATGCAACGCGTTGGAAACAACAACAACAACAACAGAATGTCAGTGTCACTTGTTTCGTAGCAAGGGGCGTAGTAATGGAACATTCAAATCGCCAATTCTTGCTCTCCCTTCCCTATCCACAGTGGACTGTTTGATTTATTCGTTCCTTGCTCTGCCAGACGAACTAGTTCATATACAGTTTCTCGAGTTTAACATTCCACGTGCCACGCCAAACTCAAAAAAGTAAGTTTTTAACTCTTTTTGGTTGGTAACGGTATATTTGAGCTAAGAAGCAAACGTTTGAAATAGGCCTTATTGGTTGGTGTCCATGAAATCGTGCAATCAGAACACGTCAAGTTTCATTTCTTCAGAAACGTTGCCTCAATAAATTTAATTCGGACATCAGATCCACGTTCCATATGATTAGGACATGAATGCGCATATACAGTAGGCTGTATTCCATTGGAATATACGTGTCTAAGTGAACTCCGCTGATACAACTTGGGGCAGCGATAATAATCAGCCACAGAACTGTAGGCATTTTTAAGATTAACTTAAGTACTCATGATGCGATCAGAGATCCGTGATAGCTGGATTTGTCTTCAGTTACTTTTCAATGTGAATGTCTATGAAATTCATGCTTTTATTAGAATTAACTCGGCATTACCTTGTCCATCAAATGGATTATGAAACCACATTTCTGGGAAAATCACCATTTTTGTTGCAACTCCTTCCATTGATAATCTGAGTTTACGCAATATTCCTCTGTCTAGTTATTTTCATCCTTGCATTCCCTATCCTATATATCCACATTCACATGAAGTAAACATTCAGTTCAGGCGAATCAACTTTGAGGCATCATCATTAAGAAAGCAATATTAATCAATCAAATTTGCCTGAACTGCATAAACTGCCCTTGAATTCCAACGGAATACTTTTATCCTAATGTGGCCTGGAAACACGATTTGCCTGTATTCACCAATTTAAATGCGATCATCAAACGCAACCGGGTTTCAGCTATGCTGCACGTGTGCGTGAGAAACACACAAAGTAAAACAGATATTGTAAACATACCATTCTTCAGTACCGCAAATGATCATTTTGGGCGAGTGAACAACCTACTAGACTCCGCTGTGATTTAAACTTCACTCTTTTTTACTGTATTCTATCCCTGACGAATTTATCCAATACTTTGTTCTGGCTAAAATCCAACTCGTGATACCCCGTGTTTTGGTTCCCGATGTCATTCTGACAACTCAGACGTGTTACTAATCAATCTAGCACTATCAAAACAGTGCGAATAACGTAATAACTGTCTCTGACAAATCATTATTGTCCTTCTGATGATCCCACCTGTTTGGGAGTACGTGCGTGCGTGCATACGCGTAATGCGTCACTCATCAGAATAATCTTTGGTTTACATCCATGATATGCCACAGGATTTCTGCGTGTCGATCTACAAGTCTGTTCTTCCCTGTATATGTCAGTTAACACGAGTTGATATGTCACCATCAGCAAGAGTCGTTTCCGTTTTTTAGTTACACCTTGTGGCATATTTAGCATATTCTGTTTTAAAGACCATGACCGAAAAGATGCGATAAAAAGGTACATGAAAACAAATGCTGAGAAAACTGGGATGGTTAACGAGGGGTGCAATCAAACAAGAGTTTATAGTGCATGAGTTCAGTATAAAAGAAAAAGCGATGTCCATGAACGAAAAGACGATGTAGCGTGTAGAATCGGATCTCAGCGCGTTTCTAAAATCACTTGATACGTGTTTTGATTGAGCGTTTTCAACGTTTCGCTGTGTAGAATGCTTACAAGCTTGTTTTGTTCTATGGGGCTTTTGTAAGAATTAAATTGATTGAACAAGTAATGAAAGATGAGAAATATCACAAAGTTTCATTGGTATATTTACCACCGTAGATGCCGAAAATCAGGTATCCTAATGATTTATACATCCTTGGCTAGAAGAACTCACTCGTCGACTCCAAAAAACGTGAGCTCGTGAGATATTCCACAAACTACACAATCTAACAGAAAAAGAATGACAACGAATTTTAAGTCAACCTTTTGGGAATTCCAACTTGAATGTTGACCCTGAAGGGAATTTTCAGATACAAAGTGAGCAGTGAACGAATAGCGAGTCAGGGTTCTGTAGCATTTCACGAAAGAAACATCAAAATCACGTCTACTAAAATTCAAAGGTGCCGATTAGAGTATAACCGCTGTTAGTGCAGTCTTTTCACAAACCTCAGGGTTGCTGGCATTCATGACCTCCAAGATTGAATGGTTTACAAACATAAGAATGAAATAGACTCAAGTTAATTAATGACTCGATTTATTAAACCGAGAATAATTAGAACGGCGGACGACTTCCTGATGTGGTTAACTATTCTCATGCTAGTCGCTTGAACGTTGTTGATGTCTAACTAAGTATGGATTCCGATTTTTGTTTCGTAGGAAAAGCTACACACATCTCAATGCTTTGGGTTCGATTTTGTTTTCGATCGACCCTAGACGAGCTGTGTTGAAGGTTCATTGAAGTGCCAGTTAGCCCCCAGGTTTCATTACTGTAGGTTTCATCTAAAGTTACTGTTATTTATGGCCCCAGAAGGACCGGCAGGTTGGTTATTATAAGTAAACAAAATGAACCTGCAGTATAGATTATTTGAAACCGCGAGAGCTGCATTTATAGTACTAGCCAGTGACTCAGAAACCCAAATTGCTATGAACTCAACTATTCAACCCAATACAAATTTCCGAAAAATGTTATGGCTATTTCAGCATTAAAGCTTTAATAATTAATCTGGTTTTCAATGTTCGATTTTTTGGAGGTTTTCAGCTTTCTGATTTGTTGCGAGATCAAAAGTATCAGTAGGGTTTGAACTCTTACACATATATCAGCTCCACCACTTTACAGAGACAAATGTAACCTTATAGATATACCGTTGAACCGTAACTTTTACATTAGTATATGGAGATCTTAGGCGATTCATCGCTCTTTGTTTCAGGAGTTACGTTACCGATTCCTATGAGTAAACATAATGTCATCATGAGTCTGCAATTTAATGATTCTGCTGTCGATCGCGCAGCAGCTTAACGGGAAAAATGAGCAGCGCGAAACATGCACGTAAAACTTAAAAATGTCTCTGTTTCACTATTTCAGCTTTGAATACATGAATAAAAGCAAACAGTCAGTTATATCGCCATTATGAAAAAGATTTGTAAGCGAGAGTTTCTTGAGTCTTCCGAATTTTCACTACTATTAGAAGGTGTGTTGTAATTGAACGAAAAAGGCCTTATCAGAAGTAGCTATCATTTTAATTAAGAAATAGGATAACATTTTCATGCTCAACTCCATCAAAATGTCACCTGATATGTGAGTATTTCTTCGTTTACCTGACTCATCATTTGAAAACAAAAATGTGGTTTTTTACCTCGTCAACGAAAGCGTATTTCACATAAATAAAATTGATCATACGTTTCGAAACTAAAAACATTTATTGGTTACATTCGTTAAAATTTGCTTACTATTCACAAAGTCCTTGCTTGCTTGTGCAGTTGGGTGGTCAGTCTTGGAGAGCAAACCAATCTTCTACTTCAATAGAATGTGATCACTCCAAGATGTCAGTCATATCCTACATTTGAAGGTTTTATAAAACTCACAGTCACTATTTCATTCATGTTTCTCAGAAAGGCGAAATGATCAATTTTTAATTGTATACTGGAAAAGGTTATTTCTCCCTTTGGATGTTGTCGTAAAATATATATTTTGTACTTGGACAAATCTGAATAACCCTCATCCATTATAAAACCAGAAAAATTTATTCCAATAGATGTAGAACAAAATATATTTATCCGTTTACTAAATAATCAATGAAATCAGCTAGAATAAATTGTCAAACTTTGCAAGAGCATAGAGAAGGCATTTCTGGCACACGTTATGCGCCACTTATCTGCGCATGTTATTCCCATCGGAGATTTATTCTGAAGATAAATTTCAAACACTTACCAGATCCACAAAATGAACATTAAGAACCTGTGGTGATCGGGATTAGTGATCTGTCTGCTAAGGCGCAACCCAATATCACCCTCCCCATCACGATCAGGTCGAATAATACTATCATCCACGAGCGTATTTCGAACAAAACGCCCACCTGTTACTTCAAGTGCCTCAGTCTGGCGCTAATCCGCATAATCTCGTCCTCTTCTTGTTTCTACCTGTAGGCCGCGTTGTGCATGTGTGTGCTATATGCACTTGCCAGTCTGCCTCGGTAGAGGTAATCTCGCGGAGCTACACATGAGTGAAATTAAATAAGAATCAGGTTGGTATTCTTCATTCTTGCTGTCCAAAAAAGCAAATGTTTAAGCACTAGCCGAGTTTTATGCGCATGGAGACATCAAACAGCATCCTATTTGCCGACTATTGGCTGTATGTGACATTAACTAGTACCTCTAAAATGATGGAAAAATTATTGNCTCGTCTTGATCCGATGGACATAATAGTGAATGCACATTGCAAAGATACCTGATTAGTTCAAGCTCAGTTCGCATAAAATCATCATCCCCGAACGCAGACAATAAACGTATTAAATATTTTGGACTAATTTGAGCCATTCTATTCCTGATATTGACTCGAATAAAAGACAGCCGTACATATCACAGTTGAAAAATGAGAAAACCTGTTTAAGATAAAGTTGCCGCTGTAAAACTGTTAATTATTACGTTTCCACGAAGGGCATCGTGAAAACTGGTTCAAATTGGTTCTCTTCACATTGTGCAGAACGGATTGCAATCAAGAGATAAAAACCTATAATGAGTCAACGGAACGAGGTGTTTTCAATGGCTAGTAGAAGGATGCACAGTCTAAACACAATTTTTGGCTGCTTCATAAAGACAATTGTGTGCGTTATGTATACAATGAGGTTGCTGATGCACTGTCCGGAAATGAAATTGCACACCAAGTGATCATTGTACTCGTCACAGAAATGCGTACGTTAGGGTTAAAACTTTACCCGGTGACACACGTTTTAACAATGTGATTATTTGCCAAACAACGGGAATAAATCTAAAAAAGTGGATCAATGCATAAACATATTGTTCAGTTCATACACCTTGTACACCGTAACGAATCACCGTTTACTCAAATACCTAACCTTCGGGGACTTTATCCAGACCAGTTTAATTTATTTTCAACAAAACCAATCCGTGTAACACATCATGTTTTACAGGAATTATGT